ACTTTTAATACAATGTATCAAAAGCATGTACATGTATTCGCATTTTTTCCTCATCTCAACATATTTTATATCAGTATATGATCAGGAAATCTAAAATAATTTATTCATGGGGGAAAGATTTAGCCTCCAGAAATTCCACTCATTACAATCCTAATGCGCTGTGTACCAACAGTATAAAATTACATTGACTTGTCAGTTTCTGACTCATTCTTACTACATACATGTATATTTTCAGTTGTAGATAAAATCTGATGCACATTTTTAGTCCTCTATCTCTTAAACAGAGTACAAACTGTTACTGTAAATTGTCAAAAATAATCACAGGACAACAAGTCTGTAGTTACTGGCAACAGTCTTTCTTTAGAATATTATCGTCATTTTCTGACTGGCTGGATAGTAGGGTGTTCTTTCTTCATGTTTTTTATTCAATTTTCTGGATCAGTAGAGTGAACGGTACAGTAGAAAAATGGGGACGTGAATGAAAATTAATGGCTGTCAAAATTCAAATTGACTAATCCAGAAATGGTATTGTGACATAACAGAGCAAATAGGAGAGGGATTACAAAATTGTCAGTATCGAACATGTTCCATACTATCTTTTAATAGTAGCGGATGTACTGAAGTAAATTAAAGAGGTGTTTCTATGAAAGTAAGATCAATAGAAGAAATTATGTTAATGATGGAGAAAAATAACAAATGTGATTATTGCTAATTATTGTTGATGCACTTCCAATAGAGCGAATACAGTAATTTTTCACTATTTTATTAATGTCTACGAGTACATTCACATATATCATGACATTTTCACAAGTATATGCGTCAGTTGGCACATTTGTCCTGCGATGACTGACATGATTAAATCAATAGCAGTCCCACTCTGGGCCGACAAAACGTGAAATGATCCGCCAGTGATGGAAACAACACCTACGAAACACACAAGATACCAATTACAGGCGAATGTAGTGAGAATTAGTCAACACATGGATCTGCAAGGTTAAATATGTAATCCATTTTTTACACTCATTACACGCCTGAGCAAACCACCCTGTGGCATGTACAGGTACCTGTATATTACAGCGACCACTCCTATATATAGTTTATATCATTGATCACGAGGACCACACCAGACAGTGTCAACATAGAAGACTCGTACAAGATATGAAGATAGGTAATCTTAAATATTAATTCTGTACATACATATGTACATACATATAAATACATCCTGGATCAACAAATGTCGTCAGTCTCATGAGAAAAATTGCAAATGGTGACGAGTTAATGGAATTGTGAAAAGTAAAATCAATCAAGTATAAATTACCTGCTGAATTTTTGTAAAAACTATTTTTATAAATTTGTTTTTGGTTGTTTTGATTTATTTATTAATTAATTATTACTTTGAAATATATAAGAAATAGTTTTATACAGTTTTTGTTCATTGTCATAATTATTGTATGTACATGTAATATATTCATATTTCTGGTGAAAGAAATTTTACTTCACTTCATTTTTTGCCAGGATCTGTATGTAAAGTATATGCCCACAATCAGGAAAAAATGGAGATTTGGGGAAAAACGCGAGTTCAAAGAAAAACTAATGTGCATTAATAGGTCTCACTGAAAATGCAACAAAAAGATAACACACAAAACCATGCTTGGTTATCGCTATTCAACACATGGCAACCTGTATACTACATTTGGGTAAATTGCCTTTAACAAAGTTTTCCCATAATGAGGATTACTGTAAGTATTCAACGTTGAAGCAAAACAAGTTGTAGACCACAAATATAATCAATACAGCCTAAAAAGCTTGCAACAAGTCAAGATTGGGGAAAGTTCCAGGTGAACATGGTGTCGGAAACTCAACAATACCATGCCAAAATGGCATCTAGCGAAGAGGTAGACACACGCATTATTGAAAATCACTGTGTTCTATTACTTTATGAATATTCATGAGCTTGCATTTACACAGTATACTCCATAGAGAATTTGAACGTTTTTCACTGTTTCTTTCAGACTGCCATTTTTATTAAATCTTGCATGACAATTCCAATTGTTTTTATTGTATGTAAAAATGCATATTTTATTTTATAAACATGTATAAATATATTTATTAAAACCGTTATTGAGTTTATTTTATTGAATGATATCGTAGGTAGTAACTGCGTGTAGTGTGGTGGTGCGTAAATACATTCTGGCGGGTCTGTATATGTATATAGTCAAAACAAAATAACACCAGTGTGCCTCAAGTACCACCACGCCCTACCCCTTTCCCAACGGACAAAATGACCCCTATACATGCAGGTCACACATCCTGGCATTCAGGGCTAATACAATCCTTGTGTTCAGCGAGTAGAACAGAAGAAACCATACAATATACATGTGGCATGTTTAGCATTCAGAGTACAGACAAATCTGCATTTTCCAATAATCAATAAAATGATCATAGCTTTATAACGTTTCAATGTTTTCTTTTATAAATGTAATACTAATCCAACTCTGTTTATGCACTGAATCAGAAATAATAAAGCTGCATTTGGCTGAGATTACCACTGCATTGATTAATCCCAATTACTGCTTCCAAGACTCTAGACTAAAGCTTGTTAGGGAATCCCCTGATCTGTGGTACATACATTTTGTTAGACTCGCTATTATTCAAATATTTTCTTATCAAAGGGGGGGATTTTCCCTCATTCGTATCAAATATAATTCTCTGTGAAAATAGAAAATAGAATAGAATAGAAAAATAGAAAATCTCCATGTTTTCAGGTAATTCAAATATACTTGAGAATAGACATCACAGTTTCCATACCAAGAACTCTTCGAAGTGGAGGCAGAAACTTCTTCACATGACAAAACATTCTATCACACATGTATTAGTGTTTAAACTTAAAATACCATTTTAAAAATGGTCAGTGGTTTATTTCTAGAAACTAAATCATTAACTAAAAATAGAAATGACAATGCTTTTTATATTCGAAAGGGTCATGTTTTACTTTTTTCTTATAAAGCCTGTGTATTAATATAAAAATACAATTTTCTCAAAAACAAGGTCAGTTACCACCATTTTTTATCATTACAATGTACTAATAGATTACCAGTATAATAGATTAATCAATCTTCTAGTAAACCAAAAATTAGAAAATTGTTGATGATTTTACGAAACAGTATTGAACATCCTTTAGTTAAATATTGGTTGGTGTCATTAAAAAACTTAACACAGTTGCATGTGCTTATGGTGTTCACAGTTCAGTGATGTAAACACTGGATTTAATTATGACTAAAGTCCAATGTCCCTTTTACCCATCATAATGCAACATGTGCTGTATAATTGTTCCCTGTACTCATGGTGGGCCCTGATACTTTGCAATAATAAAATAAATCTCATTATGATAAGTAAATAACATTTTTCTTGATAGGGAAACCTATTTATGAGAATCGAGTGCAAGACAGTTTTATTATGTTTTTCAAACATGTATCCACTGATTTACAGCGAACATTAAACTAGTTCAATAAAAAGGGATGGACTAGTGAAAATCATGATGCTTCAGAATTTCATTTACTCTGTACCACCTTCTTTTTGATTGCAATTTCAGGAAGGGAGAGAATCTTTAAATTTGTCAGTTTACACATAAAGTCAAAATTTGTGAATTAAAAATAAAAAATAAAATTTAAACAAAGCAACTACCCCGGTAGTGCTGTGATAAATCCTTTATATTCCAGAATTACATACACAACTGTGACAACATGTGTTCATTGATTCCATAATATATAATTCGAAAACAAACTTAATGGTTTGACATGATTACTATATTATTTACGTGATGTACAATGTATGCAGCATGGTAACACAAAATTAAAAATTTATTTATCGGTATACTATTTTAAAGTGAAATTTAAAATACTGGATTTGGTCTATTAGATGTACAAAATGTATCCTACAGTGTATAACAAAAATTATATTTATTTTGCATGGAATCACCAAAGACCATAGAACATCTATTCTATTTAGTAAACAATAAGTAAAGTATTTTCTCATCACCCACTGGGAATACATGTACTGCATTTTGACACTTTTGACAACTGAAGAGTTGATCAATTTTCTACTACTGATAATTGGAGTAATTATAGTGCGAAAATGTCTTTTTGAGGAGCTCTTGTAGAAATGACACATACATATGTTAATATGTACTACAAAACACATCTGGTGAAAACACTGGCATTATTATATCAAATACTAGCATATGATATTCAGGTATGTATTAGACACAAATTACCATATAACATTTGTTTACCTCTGTTGATAGTTGAATAAAATATGGTTGAACTACTGTAAAAACAGCATTTCCATGGTTGTAATATTTAGATTTTGGAATTTGTTCTATTTTCAACTTTAAAATCTCGCTATTATTTTTCAGCACTCTCTCTTCCTTATGATTTCAATTGGCACATCCCTTAAAATACACCAAAAGTTCAAACTGTCTGATCAACGATGTCACATTAGCCGAATGGTAGTACCAATCTCTGACTAAGATGAGATCTTGAATCATTCATCAAGAATCTCTCACATATTAACTATTTTCATCAACACATGGTAGTGTGATATCGATAAATCTATTTTTAGTTTTATTACGTCATTTCTATTCATTTTTTAAACATCATTGGCAAGGACTGCAAGTGGTTGGCAAATTAAGTCCCCCCAAGTTTAAAATTAACAAAGCAAAAATAAATGCAAACTTTGACAGGAAAAGTTACGACGCTCGAAGGGTTAACAGACTATACCGAGTCAAATGAGTACTATTTAGTACATTTAGTACACTTGTCTATCCCTAGTTCAAAAGACCAACCACATGTCGAGTTGAGTCTCCTACATATCAGCATCATCTGCAAATTATATTCTCAAATGTTCTCTACCTGATCAGAATACCTCATTCTAAATTTGTTTCAACCCATAAAACTGTAGTTGACATGATACATAAAATATGATTTCTTAAACTCAAACGATTCTCTTTATCAGAACAGCCAAGAAAATTGCAATTGGGAAAATATTGAGTCATACGAGTCAAAACTAAATTATCAGTAATATAATAAATCAGACAGACTAGCTTGAATGGTAGAGCTAGGCTTAGAATCAACTACTGCTGTATAATTCGGTGAACTGGGATTGTAGACGGTTCATACCTTATTAGGTATATATCTCTAATACATGTAGAAGCACACATACAGGATCGTTAAAATGACCTATTTTGACCATTTATGTAAGTGCAAATACGGTTGTTATGTACCGATATGTACATTATAGAAAAGTGTTTTGAGTGCTTAGATTTAGTGCTTTTCAAGCTTCAAGCATCAACTATCAATTTATCGTGCGTTATGGTCGCAACTATATGAAGAGGATTGGTCATGGTATTGTCAATCAGTGAATTATGTGGGAAATAAAACTAATCAACTGTACATGTACTGTCATATCAATCAAGTAATTAAGCCTAAATATTAGAAATGAAAAAAAATGATGGACAATAAAAATTATGAATTTCAGAATTTTGCACAATGTTCTGTACAGCGCGATGATATTTCTCCATTTCTAGCATAGATAAGCACTGTAAACAACACGCACCATAACATATTTCCTTGTTAATACATTGATAAAAAGATTTTCTCATGTCCGATGATGCATTGACTATAAATCCCAAAAGCATATCGATTCATATTCAGTTGACATAGGATATTTGTCTCAACTATATGACCTTGACAGGTATACAATGTTTATCTCCATTATAAAACGTGCTTTCCACACTAGTCAATAATCACTCAGCCACTGACAGGATACAATGGGCACTGTAATCTCTAGAGAATAAAATTACTAATTTTACTGTGAACGAAAAAACAACCTTACAAGTAGTAACTAAGTATTGCATTATAGCTTCACAGACAAAATAGCAATATTGATAATTTAAATGTAACAGTTTGTAATTGTAAGCTGTTACTTTGTTAGCAAAATAGTGACCTTATATATTGAAATACTATTGGTTTGGTTGCAAATTCTTGATATTTAACTTTTTAAACCACCAGTTACCTCTTTTCATCACAAAACAGTCTTGTTTATATTCTGCACTTTCGTTCAGAAAATTGGGACAAAAGTAGCCAAATTTTTGGAGTAATAACAGAAAATTGACTCCAATTTTGTCAATTGGGCGAGATGGTCTGGTGGTGAAAAGGTTAACACATTGCCTACTGATGCCATTTTAAACCATTCATATTAGCTATGGAGGCTATCAACCGAAGATGTGTTTTGGCAATGAAGATAATATTTTGTGACAAAATCTGTCTATAATTGATTAATTAAGTGTTTTACTATAAATCAACAATTTGGACTTTTTTTAATTACTGTCAATCTTGTTTTTTTTCAGAAAAACTGTCAAGCAATTTGCATGAAATGGAAATCTAGCATAGTTTTTTTATCAGTGTATTTCATTTTTTTTATCCTTCTACATACATGAAATATACACATAGCTAAAAATAACATTTTTATTTTCAGGTAGTATTCTATCATGCCCATAAAAGTCTAATTGACCACTGAAGAGAACATAATTAGCATAATAAAAAGTGAGTCGGGCAACCCTTATGATCATTGAATGAGTCAGTCGCACATGGGTTGGTTATTTACAATGAATACCTGTATTCATAGACACATACTGGTACGGAAGCACAGTGCCAAGAATTACTTTACATAATTTAATTCTTTATATAATAATAGAGGTATACCATCCAGGCAGCGGTAAGGGCATTGACTCACTAGTATATCGTGTTATCCATAACATTTTCTATCATAATTTAGTATACACTTACATGTCAAATTATGGTGCAGCTGGAAATATGGGGTAACTCGGGCATAGACAGTCAATTTTTAATAGTGTAAATTGTTTTTACTTTTCAGCGATAAATAAGGAAATAAAATACGATATCAGGTTTATATATTTCTTTTGTCACTGCTAAAGAAAATGCCCTGAATTTATCAGTTCTCGTGAAATACAAAATAGAACACTGGAGCATTTGGAAAACCCCTATTGCCATAAATGAGAACTACAAATCAACTAAACTACAAGACACATAAGCAAAACCAATAGTATAAATCCAACAAAACTGATACATGAAAACCAATATTTTGCTCTCAACAAAACTGTACCACCATTTCTAAATATTTATGAATATAAAATATGCATTCATTCAAATCAAAACAAGGTCTATTCAACATAATGTTCGTGAACCCAATGACAACCAGCAATACAACATTTCAAATGCACAATCACGCAGATTGGTGTCAAATATGGCTTTCAATGGTCGAAAAGTGTCGAACACAGTTTTGTTGAAAATGCAATAATAATTTATCATCCCAGAAAGCAGGCTTTAACAAACCTAGTGGATGAAATTTATAAAACCAGTCCATGATCAGATAATGAAATCATTAATGTTTTCCAGATTAGTTGACTGTGAAAACAGTACTGTACTGAAAGTACTAGAAAAAAGGACTGTTATGAAGCCACTTTAAACAAAACACTACGATTACACATAATTGAAAGCAAAAACTCACATTTTTTTACAGTCATGTTAATAAAAGGGTATTTTTCTGATCAAAACAAATTACCATAGAAATCATCTGATTTCAAATTTATAATGGCATTTTTTCATTGATCACTGATTAGCAGAGAAGTAGAGACAGAGCGTATCCTGAAATTTGTCGTCCGTAGTCCAAACAAACAAAAATTTAGGTCATTGGAATATTAAAATGTCCTGACTTCCTATCTTTATTTGACAGGAAATGACACTGACAGAGACCATGACTCTATGACACTTCAATTTATGATCATGTTTCGGGGATTTGCTAACTACCAATTATTTAAAATAATAATCGCATAACTATAAACTGTCAGTGGTACAACATTTTCTCAAGACATACATGTACATCCATGTCCATGATAAAGAGAAATTATTTCCACATTTGTTTTCATAATACTCCTCTGAGACCGCCTCACCTTATCTCTTGCCATAAGCAATATTTAGAGAGTCAACTCAACAAACCCTGACCATGTGTATTGATATTATCACTTTGAAAAACAAATGAATTAATAGTTTCTGATTTTCAAGTTTAGCATAATTGTTTAGATTCTTACCTTGAAAGAAAGCCAGACAGTCCTTTTTTCTTGGGCTTTGCTCCTTGAGCTAATGCTAACTGTTCATCGTATTTGAATACCCCAGTAGCCGGGTCATAAGAGTTTCTAGTGTGAAGACTAACATCCACAAACCCTGCCGCCTCAGTGTCATTTAAAAACGTGTGACCTTTACTGTCACTTGTTTCCTCTGCAGATATACTGGATGAAGGTTCTGTACTTATACTTGAAACACTTGTAATAGATGCGTCACTTTGAAATGATTCTCGCGTACCAGATCGCTGTAAATGTTCAAGTTCAATCTCTGGTGAGGAATTCCTGGAACTTGCACAATTTTCTCCATCCTCACTTTTTGTTTCGGATTGGTCATACGAATTGCTGCTTTCTTCACTTACACTGCTTCCGCATGTGTTCTCGATAGACACCTGCTCAGCATTGCAAGCGCTGAAGTCTGCCCAGTTTTCACACTCGTAATCTGGGATTTTATTTACAAAATGTTCATACCTCTCTGATTCCGGTTTGTCGTCGACATCTTGTGCATGTTCAACAGAAGGCTGTTCTGCATCTTGTCGCACAGTATTATTACAAATTACATTCCTATCGCAAACAGGCTCGTCAACAGCGTTATCGACAGTATTATTCGATGGCATTTCTGGTAAATTTTGGTCGCTGTCACACGAATTGTCTTCACATCCACACGAGTCTTCATTGACAACTACACAATTGTTTTCATCGAGGCAAGCACTACACTGAGATTTGTCAGAATCGTTGCTGATTTTAACAGTCATTTTAGAATCTTCTTGCAAAGTTACTCGATTCAATCCATCGTCAACAAAACAATCGTCGACGGTACCGGCGTTGCCATTTTCGTGGTTCACTGCATCCGTTTTGGGCATAGCCCAACGGTCTTCTTCCAACCTTTCGACCACAACATCAGACGTGGAATTGACTGAGTCCATTTCCCCTACCCCTCGATTGCCGTTGTGCACATTCTTACCTTTCAAATCGCGGGGGATGTGTTCCAGCCCCTCCTTCGTTGGCAGAGGTTTGGCATGGACTTTTTATCAGAAACATTTTCGCGATTTTTCACATCTTTGGATAGTTGTCTCATTCCTAATCCATTTGACATAAATCCTAATCTTCGATTTTGTAGAGTTGCCCTCAGACCGGCGTTAAAAACCTACTCAATTCCCTTTGTTTATAGCGTGTTTTCAGTGAATTTATATGTACAGGGGAAAATTGTACAAGCGGTCGCCATCTTTGACATACGAAAAGACAAGTCACGCAAATTACCGCGAGAACTAAAACGGTTTCTCAAGGTTGAAGTTCACGGAGAGTTCAAAGTTCAAGGGCCAGTCAGACTAACTAGTATGTGCAGAAAGTGTAGCTTGCTTTTGAAATTTATTGTTTTGCGGTGCTGTTAAAGTTAATTTGCACAAACCAAAGAATTTGCCATGGAAAATAACCCTTCGAAAATAGTTATGATGAGCATAACCATTACTGGCCAATAATTTACAAACAAATTAAAATCATTGTGCTAGGGAGTCATTGAGAGCGCGCGAGTTTAATGGGTATATTCAGAAACTTGTGCCTTGTCATCACCATAAGATCGTAGTGTTTTATTTTCAATATTTCCGAACGCTTTTGAGGTATTTTTTTTTTCATTTCATAACCATAGTTCAGTTACACTTATATGTGAAGTATTTTATAGTAAATGCAAGCAATATTGTATGTGGCGCAGTTTTCTGACAGCTGACAAGTGACGTATTGGTCACAACATGGAACTAGTCCAGTAGTCGTAATGGTAGATGTATATTTACTAGTAACTCTTGTATACCACAATATAATTTGCCAGCTCAATTTACTGAACTGATCTATTTTGATTCAACTGTATAGCCCTGTTTTCATGACACGGGGGGCAACCCTGCAAACAGTCCTAAAAACTTATGGCTGAATGAGTTTATTTGTTTATGGTCTTGTGTCTCTATTTTTACAATCAGATTACTGGTGTTATTCGGAATATTGCTCCGATCAACAAAATAAAGCCTCAGAGCCGCAAACCACAGCTAAACTTTAAGTTATATTATGAGATATATATTTCAAGGCTTAATGTTAACATTGAAACTTGCTTGTCCGAAATGTTGCCTCTATATTACATTTCTATTCAGTTGTCTAAATAACAATTTTACTATAAATCTACCCTACCCCTGTTTTTGTTTGTAGCCTTATAACCTCAATAACGATATTTGCAAGATATTCAACGAGAAGTTTTTTTATGTATCTTTCAATTTCGCAATAGCCCGGGGGGGGGGGGGGCTACTTCCACATTAAGTGGGTTAGGGTGTGAAGCCCACCTCTCGTAAACCATACTCACTTCTAAACCATTTTTTTCTATTTATGTACCCACTTCTAAACACAAGTGTTTTCAGCGAAAAAAAAACCAGCTCACAACTTTCGCAACCAGTGAGCGCATCCGGGCGACGCATTTTATTCAGCCTTTCCAGTATCTGGCTTTGAATATAAGGACCTGTGAAAAAGTAAATAAATGCTACACACTTCTAAACCAAACCATTGATAAATAACTACCCACTTCTAAACAAAATAACGTGAAATGACACCCCAGTCATACCCATATTGCACTTCTATGCAAGTAGCCCCCCGGGCGCAATAGTGACATGCTATCATGCTATCTGCTGTCTTCAGTGCTGAGCTTGACTTTTTTGATCATAAATGTCCATACATGTACATTTTGAAGCAAAAACGGGTCTTAAATTTCTTATGCTGACCCTCTAGAGGGTCTATGGCTGAATCCACTATATACCTTACATAATTCCTCTGAGTGACAGGATTTTCCAACTGACAATTTGAACCATCTTCTAAATGCTTGAAGTTTTTCCTATTAGATATTAGACTGTTTTTCTGTACCTGTGCATTTATGCCCCTTTTTAATTTATATGACAAATCTAAGGACAGTGGACATACTGCAGCGTCTTATAGTGACGTACACAACACATGTAAAATACTAGTACATTATTTGCATGCAATTCAAACACGCACTGCGCAACGACCACTGCACAGACTTTGAACATTAAACATTCCATAATCCCAAAGTTAGTTACCAGTGAGATTATAAACCGCTAAACATGATCTTTAAAATGTTGTCCAGATAAAACTTAATTAATATGATTCCACTAACATGCATAAATGTGACCTTACTTTTAAAGACACCCTCACCTATCACATGCTCAGTTGAACACCTAGAATAGCTAATTATCACACTTAGATCACCGTACTGTTGTTTAGATTACTGACTTCAATCAAACTCCTCTATCTCCTTGAGGTTAGAGATAATAATTTTGATATTCTGACAACATTCCTGTTGCTTCAAAGCATAAGGGAGTAATCTAAAATTCATGTTATTTAAACTGAAACTCAATTAGTACAATCTGTAAGCCATCAGAGATTTTTTTTTTAATAAAATTCAGAAATTGAAATGCTATTTGTTCAAATGTTAGATGACACGACATTGTAGATGACTAGATTAGAAAGTAGGAAGCCAAAACGTGACACTTTGAAATATACAAAGTAGCCAGCTGAACAAGTTACAGCTATTTAGTAGGAAGCCATTTAGTGGCAACATATAGAGACAAGTCTGTATTTTGTAAGGGTACTAAGGTAAACTTTTGAGGCATCAAGGCAATTACCTTTGATATCTCTTTGAAGCTTTAGCTTTGCATTCGGTTTAAGGAATCCTATTTAATGCATGTACATTGTATCAAGTCTGAACAAACGTTTCAAGCATTTCTTTCAGTTTATACCACTTCAAATCTGCTCTGTTTTTTTGTGTTAGCATGCCACGAGACAGAAAATCTAAAAAACCTGTTATCATCGTTGATGATGATGATGATGTCATCGAGGAGGATGGAGACAATGATTTTGTAAGTATGGCCATTTTCAGTACAAAATAATATTGCATAATGTGCACTGAAACATCACCTTTATGTGTCTAAATAAGATGTATCAGTTTATTTGCAGGGTGTAAAATATGTGTTATGTTCAAATTTTATATATTCATTATCAGGGGTTTTTCTAGAAAAAAACTGCAAGAGAGAGCACTGCAATTCAGCGGTGCCACCAAGTGGGGGAGATAAGGTTCTCCCTACCAGGGTGTGGAGTTTTTGATAAGTTAAAATGGAGCATTCTATGGCTTCCTTGGGGCCAAAATTACTATCAGACAGGTCACAGTTGAAGACTATGGTCACATGTGATCCCTGGTCAATCTGAATTTTATTGTTGCCAGAGGATCTGCTCCCCAGGGTAAGGGGGCGCATGGCCATGGCATGAGGGCACTACGCCACTGTGTCCTTGTTTAAAAAAATCCCTGCAATATACATTATGTCATAGATGTACAGATATATTGGTTTGATGATCTAATTCAAAATGGCTGAATGGTGGCCATTTTGGTGCTGAAAAATTATGGCATTCCTGAACCTGATCTCGGCATCTGACATTATAGGTTCCTGATGCACATCATTTTGTTTGTCAGATCTGATTTATAATATCTGACTGGTGGCCATTTTGTTTTAATGAATGTGGTTCGAGAGCCATATCTCTGACATACTTTGACTGATTATGTTTATTTATTTATTTGTTGCTACCCTTTAACATCAGGGGCTCACTAAGTTATTAGGAGCTACAACAAAATTATTAGAAAAGGCACATACTAGTACTATATAAATGAAAAAAAAAAACAGACAATTTAAAACTTAAAGGAAGTACAAAAAATGAAACTTTTAAACTTAAAGTGAATACAGGAAATAAATCTAATCTACATAATCTTTTCTATAATCCATGGCATCAATAAGGAATCTTTTCACAACGAATATTTGTCATGATAATACCCCCATGTGTTTTGTAGCTTTCACACAGAACAAAGTGTTCTAGAGTTTCATCACCTTTCTTGCAGCATGGACATGTAACAGTACAATAATGGACATGTTCAAATTTTAAATATTTATTATACATCATGTCATAGGTAAACAGATATTGCTTTTGACAATCCAATTCAAAATGGCCGACCAGTGGCCATTTTGTTTTAATTAATGCTGTTCCAATATCTCTCAATATGGACAAGTAATCATTTGATGATCAGATACAAGATAACTGAATCTCAATCATTTTAATGTTAAAAAATCATCATAATCATTCATAAACAAAGCTATATATATATCTTAAATGTTGACTGTGCCATGCATGGCTTGTTAAATTTGGGACCAAATAGTCACTGCAAGCTTATCAACTTTTTTTGACCGATTATATTTTGAGAAGACAAGTTGACTGGGTATTGAAGTAGTTAATATTTATTGTTGATTCCATGATCATGTATTTGACCAATCATGGTAACAGTTACTGATAGTGGTTATTGACAAAGTACCGTAAAATCTGTATTAGAAGCCGCATCGCTAATAGAAGTCACACCCATTCTTTTTGAATAATTGAGAACCAAAAATTCATCATTTCTCATATGTGTAGATGCTCTAATAGAAGCCGCATGCCCTCTGTTGCATTGTACTATTTTAATAGAAGCCGCGGTTTCTAATACAGATTTTACAGTACCTATACATAATGCGTTTTGCATCTTTACTATAACTAGACTTCTAATGTTAGAAGTGACCGATCAATAAGGAGAAGGAATTTAGAATCTCGAAAACAAGAAGAAGAAAACATTGCACAGCAAGAAGAAGATGAGCTGGAGGTAGTTTTACTGATTGTATTGTTAGCATAAAGTTTGGCATTTCAAACTTATATTTGTGCGTGGCAATTTTGTGTAGGGACAATATAAAAAAATTGTTTTTTTTCTTCCCAAGATTCACCTGGTAACAGTACTTTTTAATTTTTGTGCATCCAGCATCATTTTGATAATTGCTGATTATTTTGTGCAGCAGTTTGGTGTATAATAATTAGTTTATTTGCATATTGAGGTAGTCTACATATCTAATTACTTTGAGGTTCAGTCAATGTATAATAATTAGGTCATTTGCATATTGAGGTAATCTACAATGTACATATCTAATTACTTTGAGGTTAAATCAGTGTATAATAATTAGGTCATTTGCATATTGAGGTAATCCACAATGTACATATCTAATGACTTTGAGGTTCAGTCAGTATATAATAATTATGTCATTTGCATATTGAGGTAATCTACAATGTACATATCTAATTACTTTGAGGTTCAGTCAGTATATAATAATTAGGTCATTTGCATATTGAGGTAATCCACAATGTACATATCTAATTACTTTGAGGTTCAGTCAATGTATAATAATTAGTTCATTTGCATATTGAGGCAATCTACAATGTACATATCTAATTACTTTGAGGTTCAGTCAGTATATAATAATTAGGTCATTTGCATATTGAGGTAATCTACAATGTACATATCTAATTACTTTGAGGTTCAGTCAATGTATAATAATTCGGTAATTTGCATATTGAGGTAATCCACAATGTACATATCTAATTACTTTGAGGTTCAGTCAGTATATAATAATAAGGTCATTTGCATATTGAGGTAATCTACAATGTACATATCTAATTACTTTGAGGTTCAGTCAGTGTATAATAATTCGGTAATTTGCATAGTGAGGTAATCTACAATGTACATATCTAATTTGAGGTTCAGTCAGTGTATAATAATTAGGTCATTTGCATATTGAGGTAATCTACAATGTACATATCTAATTTGAGGTTCAGTCAGTATATAATAATTAGGTCATTTGCATATTGAGGTAATCTACAATGTACATATCTAATTACTTTGAGGTTCAGTCAATGTATAATAATTCGGTAATTTGCATAGTGAGGTAATCTACAATGTACATATCTAATTTGAGGTTCAGTCAATGTATAATAATTAGTTCATTTGCATATTGAGGCAATCTACAATGTACATATCTAATTACTTTGAGGTTCAGTCAGTATATAATAATTAGGTCATTTGCATATTGAGGTAATCTACAATGTACATATCTAATTACTTTGAGGTTCAGTCAATGTATAATAATTCGGTAATTTGCATATTGAGGTAATCCACAATGTACATATCTAATTACTTTGAGGTTCAGTCAGTATATAATAATAAGGTCATTTGCATATTGAGGTAATCTACAATGTACATATCTAATTACTTTGAGGTTCAGTCAGTGTATAATAATTTGGTAATTTGCATAGTGAGGTAATCTACAATGTACATATCTAATTTGAGGTTCAGTCAGTGTATAATAATTAGGTCATTTGCATATTGGTAATCCACAATGTACATATCTAATTACTTTGAGGTTCAGTCAATGTATAATAATTAGTTCATTTGCATATTGAGGCAATCTACAATGTACATATCTCATTACTTTGAGGTTCAGTCAGTATATAATAATTGGGTCATTTGCATATTGAGGTAATCTACAATGTACATATCTAATTACTTTGAGGTTCAGTCAGTATATAATAATGCACAAATATAATTCATTTAATCTACATATCAGATTCTTTTCTGGTGCAATGCTGTGTATAATTATCAGTTACTTTGCATATTGCTTCTCAGTTTTGCTTGCATCATAAACAGACTACAGTCTTTCATAGAACTTCTGAGCACTTCTGTGGATTATTCTAATGGATTGAGGATTTTTTTTTTTAGAAAGCACTGGCACTCAGTCGTCAAGAAATGCAGAAGCAAGCCAAAATAAGTGAATTATTTCAAGAGCAAGAAGATTATGTGAAAAAGAAACAAACTCCAACCAAAGACAATACAGCTTCTAACAAGGTATATTGATGAAAACAAGTAAAAGTGCACTTTGTTAGATGCCTTGTCATACTTTAAATTGACATGTATTGAACAGGGTTACATGTGAAGAATCTTATAGAGGGGTTTAATCATAACTTTGCATCAAAATATAAAAATTGGGCAAAAATTTGTGTTTGCCATAATCAATCTACAAAGAAGTTACCAATTGAAAAACGAAAATCAACACAGCTAGCCTAGATTGAGTATGACTATTGCACAAGTACGTTATCATGTAGCTATTTAAAATGTTTTCAATGAATTCATCAAAGTTTGAAAAAATGCAGAGAATTGCCTTCCTGATTGAATATCGATAAAAAGTTTGTAAAGACACTTCTTGAAAAAATGTCTTCTATATTTCTAAATCATCATCACAACATTTTACAGGAAATTGTATCAAAAACAATGTACCATCTGACCCAATGCTTCATGAAATTTATGTAGAGTTGGATTATCATTCAAACACGCTGATATGCTGATAAAACTATGATGATTTGGAAAGCATCAAGCAAACTAACTTGGAATAACTGAGTCTCATAAGTTTATTTTATCATGCAGGTAACCTCCAGCACAGATGCTACTGAAAGCAAGTCTTCAAGTTCCCATTTTGTATCAGATGATAACTGTGGGAGGAAAATTACCAGTCATATTAGTGAAATTACACAGGAGTCAGAGAATAATATGAAGGTTGGTTTTCAGATGTAATAGTTGTGAACACTAAATGAGATCTATATACCATTTATATCTCAGTGTTTTACACATTCTATTCAGTGAGTCTTAGTAAATAGGCCACTTTCATGAGCCCTAATGCCTACACATCCTGGTACTTGTGTTGGTATGACTGCATTAAAAACATAAATGAATTCATTTTTGATTTTCTTACCAACAAAAGTACCAGGATGTCTGACTTTTTAGAGGTCACGAATTTGATCTATTGCAAATGCCATAATAGGCCTGATGCATTACCTTCAAAAGGTCACACATCCTGGTACTTTCTAGGGGTACAAATAAAGCATCAATGAGAATTTCCCTCCAAAATGCAAGCAATGTACTGTTTTGGAGTTCAAAAACATGAAAAAACATTTATGTATAAAATTGGACATTATTGCTGTTGTAGGGCAATAGAATCTTTTGATCACAACCTATGAACTGTGTTAAATTATGTGCAAGTTGTTGTATCTTTGACTTTGCTATGGTTTCTTATACTTTTATTCATTGAGTTAGGGTTACATAATCACGGGCATGACCATGACCTTATTAGCAAATCACATTACGCCACGTATGTTGTCCTGAGCTGATCACGTGTTACGCAATAAAGAGTGGCACTTCACCGCTAACCTACAACCCGTTAACTTGTGTGTACATCTCCCTCTTTATTCTGATATGTGAATTTTCACTTTAATAATTAAGTTTACTTTGTAGCAACGAGCTACAAAACAAGTATGTTCTATTAAATTTCAGAAAATAAAATTAAAAACATTGACAGTGAAAGGTTGAATATAGTGGTACAGCTTATTGTGTGTAACTAAATATTTGTGGTTAACAAACACAGCAACAGTCTGATAAAGTTAATATGTTGCAATTTAAGTTTTCTTTTGTTTATTCATGAATATTTTTAGGTTTTACATGCCGTCATTAACTGTTTTTATATATATCGTATCTTGGTAGTTAAGGTTACAGGGATGTGATATAAAAAAAAATCATAATATAAAGTAAAACCACAACAAAAAATACTGTGGAATACTTTATTTTTGCTGGAATTAATTTTCGTTGAAAAGGCTTTTTGGGCGTTTTGCTTGGAATTTATGAAAATGAAAATAGCGAATAAAGTATTCTACAGTAGTCATAAATATACACAAATAACAATAAAAAAATATATATACACTGTATAAAAATAAAAAAAATCTGATTGACACTGCAATATTTTGTAATCATTATCAGAATTATAATTTGATTTACATTCCTTTTTCAGGAAATGGATTGTTCCACAACACATGTTACTGCCTATGCTAATGACAACAATGCAGATAGGTAAGATGATCTATTTTTTTCAATACCTCTATACTACGGTAGTGGGGATTTATTCTGATTCTGATGTAACAATCAAATTTGGTTGTAATCATTGTGTGATAGGGAATTCTCATAAATAAAAATGTAGTAATTCAGTCAAGGTTCAAGATGGAAACGTTGTAGTGAAAGTTAGGGAGGAATCACAAATTATTTTTATATTTTTAAATTATGCTCATTCACCAGTCAGCTTTGATTACCTGATCTAATGCATTAATAACTGATGCAGGTGGCAGTAGAGATATTTATGCTGGTTAAAAAAAAGTTAATATGTTTAATTATTCACTGGGTTTAATTTTTGCTGGTAGCTAAATGTGCCAGAAATCCGATTATTATGCAAAGCTAACCATTGAATGTTATGTTTCACAAACCAGTGAATTTAAAACGTAGCGAGTATTCATTGAACATAATGTAAAATTAAATCCAGTGACTATTGCTCCCTAAACAGTATTTTTACATTAACATTACATCTCTAGGAATCAGGATCATCCAAAACCAAGCAGATTTAAATTTCGAAAGAGGAAGATAGATCCTCCACAGGAACCAATTCTTCATATTAGTAAGAAAGCTAAAGTGGAACCAGATATGCCAGAACAAGATAACATTTCTTCGGAGTATAAACCTATGGTTAGAAAAGTTAAATCAGATTTCCGAGTTAAACCTACAGTGAAGATGCGGCAATTAGTTGATAAAAGGTGAGAGGTGGATTGAGTGGGCGAAAATTTTGAAAATGTGTACTACAGAATGAAATGTCCTAAAAAGAAGCCAGTCACAGTGACTGTCAGTGTCATCCTCATGAATATCCTTAGGTTAGAGCGAAATTGACAAATTATGTCATTTTTGTCAAACAATACATTCATTATTATAGGTTAATGCCATAAAGATGTATTAAATGAAAAATATTTGGGTCTAATATATCATAGAAAATGATAAAAATTTGCATTTTCTGACTGTTTCTTCATGTATGAATTTTGCCCAATGATTTAGAATAAAATAATCATACGTTATTATTAAGATTCCTAATATTGTTAAAATTTTCAGCAAATTTATAATCAATTTAGCCAGTTTCCAATATGATAAGGTTTTCTATTTTATGCACTGAGAAGTTATTTCCCATAATGCATTGCATATATATGCAGTAACATGCTTAGGCCAAACAAAATTTAGATCTGTTTTTGTCAGTGTCAGTTTGAAAAGTCCTTCTCAAAAATTGATAAAAGAAGTGTTGTGTTTGCCGTCAGTGGCAAAACTTATTGTTTACGCATGCACACATAACTTCTTTATGTTTCATATAAAAAAAAAACGCATGACAAATTTGAATTTGGTTTTTATTGCCCTAAATCATAAATTCATATAAAGGTGAAAATTACATCTGCTAATGGAGACGAGAAGTGCGTTTCCATGATGCAAATGATCACTGAGATCTTGTGAGTAAAAAAATCACATGACTTGTTTTATCACCTCAGATACTGAAATAATGTTTCTCTGATACATGAAACCATGATATTTAAAAAAGCAGATGCAATGAAACGCTGCTTGAGGGGGCAAAGATACGTCATGTGATTCTCTCGTTCCCAAGATCTTGGAGCCATTAGCATCTAAATTCTATTGTTACGTCCTATAGTTCATTCTCAATGTCAGTCATACTAAAGTATCCAAAATCCTACATATAAATATTATTATATTTCCCGATTTATTGTCATGACAGATGTAAGAAACATATATCGGTACTTGTACAATGACTTTGGTGTTTTTGTTTAATAGTTTGTATGTTTTTTCTCTCTTCTCATGAATATAGATTATTGAAATGCAAAAGGGTAAGTAAATATACGATATCACTGTTTTAGTCTGATGTGTTAGTTATGTTTGACTCTATATCAATATGAATACAACTAATTAAGTGAAAACACATTTAATCATTAATTAAATTTGCATCTAGGGGCTAGAAGGTGGGGGAGGGGTGTCTCTGTGGGGTAGGGCATTTCAAAAATCTATTTGTCTCTCAAATAAGTGGAGAAAGTACAAGTTGTTAAGATGAAGTGGTGAGTTGATTCCATGACCTGTCCTATATAATGCAGTTCACCAGATTTTAAGCTTAGAGATTATCTTGTGGACATATGGATCAGATACCAAAATGACACAAATTGTGTTATTTTACTTTTTCATTGTTTTACAAACGAGGATGACTACAATACAACATGTTTGGTACTAAACTATATTATTTTATTCTTATTTTTATTGTATTTGTATTTAGAATTGTCCTAATCTTGTAATACCTTTTATTTTAATACCATACTGAACCCGCTGATGGTTCAGTAATGTAATAAAGTTATTATTATTATTATAATATCATGATAAAACTCAATATAACTGGATATACATTATCAATAAACATATGGGAAACCCGTTTTGATAATGATGTTGTGACTGTGGTTCATAAATAAGCAGTATGTTATATATACACATATAGGTATCACATTCAAACTTTCCTCACTCTCATATATCAATTATTTTTTGTAGGCAAGAAGACATTTTTCTTTCTCAAAACATTTATATGCACCGAATGATGTTGATCCAAACGTCTATACCAATGTTATCATTGCAATGTTTGAACAGTATCGATTAGCGGTGAAAGTAGAGCAGTCAAAATCCTTTTATTCGTGTAATACTTTTTTTGGCACCCCAATCAAACCTGGGTATCATATGAGTAACACGCTTGATGCAAGATTACGAAATTCTAACCAGCCGATGTATGATGTCTATATTGTGAATGAAGGAGAAGATGATGACTTGGAAGTAATGGAAGAGAAAAAAACAGCAAAAAATCTTAGTCCCATTAACATGGAAGATGAAGAAGAAACAATCGACCCATTTCAGAGACCTTGTCAAGCTAGGGACCAAGAAACTAAGGTTCTTGAGTCTGACCAGAGTTCATCTGATGCAGACAACTTTCTGACCATTGGCAGAAAGCATCACCCCTCACGAAAAGCTTTGGATTTTAATTCAGCATCGCAGAATAAAGATGGCAGTCAAAGTAGCAATGATGAAACATTGTCAACTACAGTGAAACAAACAAGCCGTGTTATTGATTTGGCGAACGATGACACCCAGGAATTTGACAATCAGTTTGGCGAGGTAGAAGATTTGGATATAAATGTGAACAATGTCTCACAGGAGATTGCTGGAAAGAATGATTCTAATTCCATGTCAAACAAAGTCGTTCCTTCAAAGAATACTGTTGTGCGAAATGAGGATGCAGAAAATGATAGTGAAGAATATGAAAATGAGACAGGCCTTGCAATAAAAGTCAATGAAGTTGAGTTATCAGGTGATGATCTGTTTGGAAATGCTGGCTCTGATGATGAGAGTGCTGTCAGTGTGAAATCAGGTACTAAAATTGATACATCAAAGAAACGTGATGAGTGTACTAGCAGCAACATAGCAGCGCCAGTTTCCAGTGGTAGCCCACTTATCAAGAATGTTGCTGCTTCTGAGTCAAATACAAATCCGTTTGCAAGCTGGAAAACTGTTCATGATAAAACAAAACTTTCAGGATCTCAAGAAAATGGTCAAGATATCAAGTCGTCATCCCAAAACTCTATAATAAAATACTCAGAACTATGCAGTACGGATAATATTAGCAAGAAATTATGTTACGAAGAAAAAAGACTAGTTCATTATTATCAGAAGAACCTTTTTTCAAAAGGAGCGATAGATGAAGCATTTTATGTTTGTGATGAGGAGCCAGAGGATGCCGGAAATGAAGGGACAGATGAACAAATAGATGAAAAGCGGAAGGAATCAAACGAAGCAGAGGAGGTCAGTGTTATTACCTGTTTATATATCTTGCAAAGTCACTTTTCGATGTCGGACATAATTGATTTGATGGGTTATTCCACAAAGCCTCACTTTGATATGAAGGGTGCCCTCAACATGCCAACATTGAATTTCAGTTTTGGTTAACATTTATCCATGTCTAACACTGATGGCTGATTTTAATTTTTTTTTAATATTTGTCGATTGTCTACATTTTTTTCCCTCAATACCTAATATTCCCGATATGTAAACGCCTATATCAAGCTGACGCATTCAGTAACTATGACATGATGGCTCTAATCCCAGGATTTGTTACTGCTGCTTCCTTGCTGTTTCAGGAATTTAAGACAGTGCCCACCAGTTCGATGCTGAAGTATACTACTGACCAAAGTGATGTAGAAGAACCAACGACCAGTGCTGATGTGTCGCAACCAAGCCCTGAAAGGTACGTGATAGTTGATAAAATGATGATTAATACTATCTAGTTCATACAAATCACCTGTCTTTTCGTTGTGAGCATTTATTAGCTTTGTATCAATCATTTTTAACACAAAAATTGAAGTAATGCATCTTCTTGATGCCTCTCCCTTCAAAATACTTTCCTCTTGTTGTATGGTTCTTTTTCACAACACTCTGAAATTGTTGCCTAGATTTCCCTCCAGTGGTCAGTTGTCAGATGATCGTAATGTCGATTGGCTGATAAATTGGAATATGCTAATTTTCTGAACAATGGATGCTAGTTGTACATTTTCCCAATGTGTCGACTGATAGCTGCTACTGAGACTGAAGTACGATCGCCCCATTCCATCTTTGTGAGCTTGCAATAAATTTACATGGTTATTGACAAAAACAATTCTAGATGACTGTGGAGAGGACCCACAAACCAATGAAACACCAATAAGTTCACCAGGCTATCTAATGTCTGCACTTCCAATATCGCCGGGCTCATTGAAACATTTGCACTTTCCATCAAATGATTGAATCATTATATAAGTGTGAATAAATGAATCGCTATTTAAAATTTCTTGGATATTACAAAATGAGCACATCATTCCACTGTGACCTCACGGTTACATAGACTATGTTTCATTACTGATGGGATATTTTATTTTGCTCTATAGGAGTGATTCTACAACCATTCCAGTTTACGAAGTAGACAAAAATGTGAGAGACTCTGAGTCAGAACTTATTGAAGACCCTGAATCACCACAACAGGTACTGTTTCGTCATCTGTATGACATGTTCTAGTGTACACAAATATATGGCTATAATAATCTATAGTCACTGCTTCAAGTGTACTTTTGTGCTTACACAAAATATAGACCTAAGTCATCATCATACTGAATGAAACAGTGAAATAGCGATTGCGTATGAATTTTTGTCAACAGTAAGGCTGGCTCAAGTAGTGTATGTACATTGGGTCAACACATGTAAATTTTGGTGTACGATCGACAGTCAGCTTTTTGGTTGAGATGCAATCCGAAAACAGGAACTTGTGCGTGTGCCCTTGTGTGCATGCATCTGTGCGTCCCCACCTGCATCTTAGAGATGCCTGGCCTGATATACATCATACCTCATACCTTATGTCTCATATGTGCATATTTATTCTTTTGGTTATCTGTTGCAAAATGGCCAAAATTGCAGTTGTTTTAATAATAGAAATTCATGAAAAATATTAAACTATGTAAATTGAACTTTATGGGACCTGAATGCATGTATCCTTGTTTGTCAGATCCGATTCAAAATAACCAACTGGTGGCCATTTTGTTTTAGTGAATACACTTTTGTGGCCATAGCTCTGACACTCTGACTGTTCATATTCAAACTTTATATTTTTCATAAACTTGAGAAATCACAGAGACTACATATTGCAATTACTTGTATTATGTTATTGAATGCTAATAGTCAAGGTTTTGAGCATCGTCATGATTATATTGCTGGGAAGATTATTTTTCAATTATTCTGAAAATCAAAATTTTATGTTCCCGTGTATTTTACTGAACATATCCTACATATACACATAACTGTATCAATCGTCAATCTCATCAACTGGCTGTACTTGGTTTATTTACAGGGCACTGAGTGTCCACTGTGTGGTGTGATGTTTCCACAAACTGAAATAGAAGTACATGCCGCTGATTGTGATGGTACTGTACCAGTCAAGAGAACCAGGCCAGGTATGTATTACGTGCTTTAAAGGCGATTTAATTAAATGACACTTGTCGCAAGACATGCTCAGTTATGGGCGAAGTCGAATCATAATCATCATAATCAAGCATCAGCTGCGGGATCTATATCTCTGAACATGTTTATGTTAAAACTATATTACAATAAACAAAACTATTATAAATTTGTTTGTTCTAATTTGTTCAAGCTAAAGAAAGTGCCAAGTCATCTTTTCCTGAATTGATAGAAGCAAGAAAGGAGAAGTTTGGCAAACCTAAACGTCCACCAGTTGTCTGTGTGTCACCTGTTACAGAAGGTCTTGACTGGATAAATGAGTAAGTTTTCATGTTTGAAGTTACACTGGTGTCACTGTATCCAATGTAAAACTGTGTATAGTGACTACTACCATTGTTATTTGTAAATTGTTCTTTATAGACAAGTGGTTTTTATATAAATATAACGATATAGGGTGTGTTTGAATATGCATGCGCGAGTTATGAATATAAACCAAGATGGCACACTGTTGTGCAGACCAGTGAGTACAAACTGAAAGATTACCAATTTTTGACTCCCGTGTGCGAAGCACAAAAGGGAGTCTTTGCAGTTACCCTGTCTGTATGTATGTATGTCTGTATGTATGTATGTATGTCACTTTTTTTGTTCCACCGTTATCTCAAGAACCACTGATCAAATTTTCGTGAAACTTGGTACATAGATGCTCTGGGATGATGCGCAGAGTT